TTGTAGCCCTGTGGTGATTTCTAGTCATCTGATGGGTTATTCTTTTCTTCCTAATTTCTAGAAGATCAATCTGAGCAATCATAGGTGCACAGGAGGATGTGGTCTGCAAACTCTTTGGCTTCTCCCTTTGTGTCGCAGATTCAGTGGGTGTTGAGGAATATGAGGACCCAAATAGTATTCAGATTTTGGCAACTTTTCAATTAGACTTGTCTAGACACTCATTGCGTGGAGGCTGAGCAACAAAGTGATGAGGTAAAAGAAAAAGGATAAGAAAACAGAAAGAGAGAAAGAAAAAAGAGAGAAACAGAAAAAGCAAACAAACCAAAAAATTATTTATTTGTTAATTTTAAAAAACAAAAAGTAAAAACCACGTGGTGTGGAAATCACTAGATCTCAGTTCTCATGGCGGACTCAGTCTTCTTCTGGCCTGCCCTGTTTACCTAGATGAGAGCGGGAAGGAGGAGGGGATTATTACCAAGATAAAGGAGGACTTCAGAGCCCAGAAAAAGCTTTACCTTACAAAATTTTTTAAAAAGGAAAATTTAAAAAATGAAAAGACAGAGACAGAAAGAGACAGAGAGGGATACAGGGGCTCTACCAGGGTAAATTCTCAGCAGAACATCTTTATTGCCTTATCTCTGAAATCACTAGATCTCAGTTCTCATGGCGGACTCAGTCTTCTTCTCAAGTAAAGTCCATATTTAAAGGTGTGTCACCCTATGTGGAGAGTACCACCTCTTGTGTAGATGGTTAGGGGGATAAATAAGGCTGTATTTCTCTTTGTTTGTATAGTAGCCCCCCTTTATCTGCAGTTTTGCTTTCCATGGTTTTAGTTACCTTCAGTCAACTCTGACCCAAACAAATAAATGGAAAATTCCAGAAATAAAAGCTGTTTTAAGTTTTAAATTGCATGCAGTTCTGAGTAGTATGGTGAGATTTATCACTGCCCTATGTAGTTTCACCCAGGATGTGAATCATCATCCTTTTGGCCAGCTTATCTACACGGTACCTGTTGCAGTTATCAGACCCACTGTCAGGTGTCGCAGCTTGTGTTAGGTAACTCTTTTTTTTTTTTTTTTTTTTTTTTATTAAAAAAACAAAAAGAAAAAAAAAAAGAAAGACAGAAAGAGACAGAGAGACAGAAAGTGAGAAATCACCCCCCAGGGGGATGGCCACACCGCAATCCCCTCTCCTCCATTCTCCTCTCAGGATCTTGGGCACGCACGCACATGCGCTTGGCATTGAGTTTAAGCCACTGGGTCTGGGACTCGAACCGCGGTCAACTACGTGGGAGTCCAGCGATATAGCCATTATGCCAACTGCTGGTCCCTGTTAGGTAACTCTTATTTTGCTCAATAATGATCCCAAAGTACAAGAGTCGAGATGCTAGCATATTGTTATCATTGTTCTATTTTATTTTTAGTTATTATTAGTAATAATAAAATAGAACAATTGTACCTAAATGATAAACTTGATCAGAGATGTTTGCATAAGGACAAACATGCAAATGTCATAACACACATACACACACATGCACACGGGTCCGTATTATCTACTATTTCAGGCATCCACTGGAGATCTTAGAATAGATTTCCTGAAGATAATGGGGAGCTACCGCATATGCATAAAGAAACTCTGGCTGGAAGGATGCACAAGAAACTAAAATCAGTGTGTGTGTGTGTGTGTGTGTGTGTGTGTGTGTGTGCGTGTGGACACTGTGGAGTTGAGCAAGAGGAGATGAGAACTATGGGGATGGAGACAGGGATAGGAAAGAGACTTTACAATGGCTCTTTTTCTCTATATTTTTCTTTTTGTGGGTCTCAACTCTACAGAATCGAATTTATAATATGCTCTCATCTTTGATCCATGCATGCTTGCCCTTTGTTTGATTTAAATGTGTTTGTTTAGTAACATAATGAATTCACATGACTCCACAAGCCAACCCAAGAACTGGAACACTAGCAGTACCTGTGTCTCCCCGTGTGCTCCTCCCCATCTATTCTTCTTTCTCTCCAGAGAAGATTAGATCTATAGTCACTAGGATGATTTCTTAAATATTTATTTACTGAAAAAATTTTTAAATGTTGAGACGGTACATGTGCTCACAGGAGAGAACAAAGAGAGAGGGAAAGCCAGAAAGCACCCCCATGGGGGATGGTGACACTCCAATCCCTTCTCTCCATTCTCCTTTCAGGATTTTGGGCACGCATGCACTTGTGCTCAGAGTGTTTTTCAAGCTGCCGGATCTGGGATCAGAACTGCACAGTCGGTCATATGAGATCTAACTGCCTTAACCACAGCACTACTGGCTGGTCCAATTTCTTAAATATTAACCTCATATCCAGCCTCCTTTCTAAAACTCACATTATTTAAACTAATTTGTCTGTAAACTCTTTAAGGTTTTTATGCGAACATCATATCACCTGTCTTTGGAGTTTCGAAACATTTGATTGCACTATTTGCTTAAAATGTTAAATTCTAGGAAGAGCCAGCCCTATGGCACAGTGGTTAAGAGCTAAGCAGAGGGAGATGGATCTCACGTGGCCGCCTGCAGTTTGAATCGCAGTCCCAGTGGCTGGAAAAACAGGCGGCGTGTGTACGCATGCATATCCAGGGTCCTCATGGGAAGGAAGGATGGAGGAAAGAGGATCACGGCATAACCAGGCCCCATGTGGTGGCTCTCTCTTTCTCTGGCTCTCTGGAATTAAAAAAAAAAATTAATTCTACAACTGCTTTATTCACCATTTTATAATGATAGATGAGACAGGAGACAAATAAAGCTTACCAGACACAGTGTGGCTCTTGACCCCAGGTCTAAATACCAGATAGATAGCCTTCTTGAGAATGTGCATGCTAGAAGTTTAAGGGAGACTTGTGGAGTTTCAAGAGGCTGAGACTCCTGGTTTTAAGGTCATGGATGGGCTTTTTTTTTTTTTCTTTTTCTTTTGAGAGATTTTTGCTATAGGGAGCATGTACTCACCACAGACACACAGAGAGACAGAGAGAGAGAGAGACAGACAGAAAGAAATCCTCCCCAGACCCAGTACCTTGAAACTCACGCCAGGTGCTTGTGCATGCATGCCCAAGATCCTGGGAGGAGAAGGGATTGTGGCATGGCCATCTACCCATGGGGGTGATTTCTCACTCCCCTTCTCACTATCTCTGTCTCTGTCTCTGTATCTCTCCCCCTGGTGAGCACATGCACCCTAAGGTAAAAACCCCTTTAAAAAAAAAAAAAAAAGCTAGCCAGCAGGCCAGGAGATGGTGTAGTGGTTAAGGTGCTGGACTTCCACATGGCAGACTGCAGTTTGGGTCCCAGATCCGGCAACTTGAAGCTCATGTTGGGTGCGTGTGTGTGTGTATGTGCCCAAAAATCCCAGGAGGAGGATTGAGAAGAGATTACAGTGTGGCCATCTCCCCTGAGTGACCATTTCTCACCTTCCCTTTCTCTGTCTCTCCCTGTCTCTTTCTAGAAGGTACATGTGCCCTGTGGCAAAAACCTTAAAAATAAAAATAGCTAGAGAACATTCATTTTTAAAGCAATTCATCTTCCCATTAACCCACTACTGTAGATTATTATAGCTTCAAGATACGATCTCTAGCTAGCTGCGTTCTATTGAGTCTGTGGCTGCTGGATACGAGCCAGTTCCATGCTGGAGGACACTAGCCAGAAAGGATGTGGTGAGCCGGCTGGCCCAGAGCCTGCTTTCTGGCAGACCCTGAGTAGCTGGTTGAGGGTGGTGGCTGCTTTGGGTGCTTCACTAGAGGCTCCTAATTGACAGAGCGCATCTGTGCTCTTTGCAGGCAGAGGTGGGGAATGCAACTGGCGGCCTCAGAAATGGTTTCAATGGGAACCAGCAGTTAGCGTAATGGCTATGTCGCTGGACTCCCACGTAGTCGACCGCGGTTCGTGTCCCGGACCCGGTGGCTTAAAACTCACGCCGGGCGCGTGTGCGTGCGTGCCCAAGATCCCGAGAGGAGAATGGAGGAGAAGGGATTGCGGCGTGACCATCCCCCCTGGGGGGTGATTTCTCGCTTTCTGTCTCTATGTCTGTCTCTGTCTGTCTGGCGAGCACACGCGCCCTACAGTGAAAATCTCTCCAAAAAAAAAAAAAAAGAAATGGTTTCAAGTTCCTCTCCCCATGTGGTAAGGTCTCTAGTCTCTAGGTCCATTAGATCGAAAACACCAGCTGGGACTAAGCTAATTTGGTCAGGCCCATGTGGGGAAGGAGAACTCCCGGACCATCCAGTTTCAGAATGAAGGGAGCTGCCATTTTTTTTTTTTTTTTCTTTTTCCCTTTTTTTAAATAATTCTTTTTTCTTTTTTTTAGAATTGTGTATTTTGATTATTCATTCATTTATTTGTTTTAATTTGACCAGAGAGAGACACAGAAAGAGTTAGAGAGAGAGAGAAAGTAAGAAAGCAAGCCACCAGGTCCAGGACTCGAACCACAGTCAGCCATGTGGGAGTGTCCAGTGCCTTAGCCACCACGCAACCTGCTGGTCCCAGAGCTGCCATTTCTTAAGCACTTTCTGTGCCCAGGCATGGCACTGGGTGGTTTCCGGCTGTTCTTCTGTAAGTCTCTGACAGCCACCTACTGAGGTACCAGTCCCCCATCTTACAGATGAGGAAACTGGGCTCAGGAAGGTTAACCATCCAAGGTCATACCATCTAAAACGATTAACCATGACCTGGATACTTGTCTGCTTGGACCCTATGCACCCTCGAAAGTCACAGTGTCACAGCTCACAGGCCACGTACATCTTAATATTTGTCACAGTCTTCCACTTCGTCTCGGTGGGGATAGGAGCAGTCTGGTGCCAGCTGTCTCAGATTTGACCCACTAAAGACAGTTTTTATCTACCTGGCTCTGTTGGGCATTTGGGACCCCTGGACACATACCATACGATGGGGTGACACCCATGTGATGCGAAGGTCACCAGGATGCTGTGGTTTGTGAGATAACAACTGTGTCTGTCCTCCTTCCCTATGCATCTAGCCTTCACCATCAACAGCATCCACATGGAGAGTCTGCCGGGCTGGATAGTGCCCAATGGGTGGAACGTGACCCTGCAGTGCATCGTGGACATCAGCACCACCTCTCAGGTCAAGCCTCAGCACGAGCTGCTGTTCTATAAGGATGACGTGCTGTTTTACAATGTGTCCTCCATGGAGAGCACGGAGAGTTATTTTATTCCCCAAGCCCGGGTCTACGACTCGGGGACGTACAAGTGCACTGTGATCCTGAACAACAAGGAGAAGACCACTGCAGAGTTCCAGCTGTCAGTGAAAGGTGAGTCCCTGCAGTGTCGGCAGACTAGCGTCTCAGCCACGGCACACAGCACTCGGGAAGCGGTTGTAACACAGGTCACATCTGTCCGTCTGTCCCCCTTCTCACTGGTCTGGCATTTTCCTACCCTAAAAATGTAGGCATTAGACACATTCCCAATATGCCAGACTACTTCTTTTTCTTGTCTTTTCTTTGTTGAGAGATTTTTGCTATAGGGCATGTGCACTTGCCAGAGAGACAGAAAGTGAGAAATCCCCACCCCCCTGGGGGGATGGCCATGCCACAGCCCCTTTTCCTCCACTCTCCTCTTGGGATTTGGGGCATGCATACACACTTGTCTGGCATGAGTTTCAAGATATCTGGTCCAGAACTCAAACCACAGTAGGCCACGTGGGAGTCCCACTTCTTAACCACGATGCTACCTGCTGGTCCCATGCCAGGCTGCTTCTAACCGCCATGCTTTTGCGCATGCTGTTCCCTTTCTGGGGGCTGCCCTTCTTCATTTCATTTCCTTATGAACTATAACTTTTCCTTCGAGACTTAATTCAGTGATTTCTTTTTTATTTTTAAGAATTATTTTATTTCAGTTTATTTATTTTAATTTGACCACAGAGAGACAGAGTTTGAGAGAATGAGAGAGGGAAAGTGAGAAAGCAAGCTGCCAGGTCCGGGACTCAATCCACAGTTGGCCATGTAGGAGTCCAGTACCCTTAACCACCATGCCACCTGCGGTCCCTCAGCAATGTCTTTTCTGATTCTTTCTCCAATGAAAATCAACCCCCCCCCAGGCTCTTCTCTCTTCGCTTTTGATGGTTTTGCCCGTGTAAAGGTCATCGAGCGGTGTGAAGCACTGGGTTCTGCAGACACTCGGCCTAGGTTCCAGTCTGGCCAAGCTCATAATCTCTCTAAACTTCAAAATTGTCACCACTAAGCTGAAGATAGTAGTAATACCTGGCTCAGGGAGTTGCTGAGAAGATTTAAAGAGTCTTGAGGAAGTAGAGTACCTAGTGTAATTCCCAGCGTGTTGTGAGTTCTCAAGAAATGGCGGTTTGCTGTCACTCCATATCACAGCTATTTCTCAAACTTCTGCCTGCTCTTCTGGATTGTGAGATTGTGAGACCAAAACTACGGTCTAGTTTTATAGCTTAAAACAACAAAATCTGGTTCACAATAGACACTCAAGAAATGTTTGTGGGTGGGGCTGGCAGGTGGCGTGGTGGTTAAGAGCGCTAGACTCCCACATGGCTGACCATGGTTTGAGTCTTGGGCCCGGTGGCTTGCTTTCTCACTTTCTCCCTTTCCCTCTCTTTGGTTAAATTAAAGTAAATAAATAAATAAGTAAAATAAAGTTCAATAAAGTAATTCTTTCGTTAAAAAAAGAAATGTTTGTGGAATAAATTAAAGTTAATCCTAGTTTATGGCTGACATTTAATAAAGCGTTGCTGCAGTCACAGTAAGGTTAATAAATACTGTCTGATTTTTCTTCTTTAAACTGTATCGGCTGGGAGTTGGATTATATCATCTTCCTAATAGGATTATACATTATTGAAAGCACCAACCACATCTTGACCACATTCCGTATTTTTCTAAGTGCCTGGTACATGCAGTGGTTACCTGGTAGGTACCACTGCAGGTTCGGGGAACATAAAAGACCCCTCATGTGGATCAGTCGAAATGACTCAGCTGAGGGTGGCTTGTGGCACTTGCCCAAACTGATACTAACGGACTTTCTCTTTCCCCAAAGGAGTGCCCAGTCCCAGGGTGACGGTGGACAAGAAGGAAGCAATAGAAGGCGGGATCGTGACAGTCAACTGTTCCGTCCCGGAGGAAAAGCCCCCGATACACTTCACGATAGAGAAATTCGAACTAAATACAAAAAGCATCAAGCTAAAAAAAGAGAAGACTTCTCGGAGTCAGAATTTTCTGATACTGGAATTCCCCGTTGAGGAACAGGACCATATTTTAGTATTCCGATGTCAAGCAAGAATCATTTCTGGGATCCACGTGGAGACGTCAGAACTCACCAGGAGTGATCTGGTCACCGTGAGAAGTCAGAGTCCCACTCTTCTCCTAGTCTTTGTGGCTTCTGGTTTGGTATGGGGAGGAAGCTCAGAACTGGAAAGGGGCAGTTTAAGTTGATATGTTTCAAAATTTCTTGAAAATTTTTTCTTTCTTTCTTCTTCTTCTTTTTTTTTTTTCTTTGAGAGATATTTTTGCTGTAGGGCACGTGCACTCATCAGAGAGACAGAGAGACAGAAAGCAAAATAATCACCCCCCGGGGGGATGGCCACGCCGCAATTCCTTCTCCATTTTCCTCTCGGGATTTTGGGCACACATGCTCACGCACCCAGTGTAAGTTTCAAGCTGTCAGGTCTGGGACTTGAACTGTGATTAGCCATGTGGGGAGTCCAGCGACATAGCCACTACACCGCCTACTGGTTCTGAAAACTTTTCTCTTTATTCATGCTAGAGTACATCCATGGGCACATGAGAGTGAGAGTAAGAGAGAGAGAAAGAGAGAGAGAGAGAAGCACCTTCCATAGGGTCTTGTCAAGCCGTGATCCCCTTCTTCCCATGTTCTAGCCCATTGGATCTTGGACACTCATGCCCATGACCAGTGTGTTTCAGGCTGAGCAGGCTGGGGATTTGAACCATGGTTTTCATATAGGATCCAGCTTCTCTTGAGCGAATGTCACCACTGCACCATGAAGCCAACCCTTTTTTCATCATCTGTAACACAGTTAAATGTGCATATGTGCGGTATCTTCCAAAAGCTCATGGAAAATGCATGTTATAAAAAAACTATGCATGGATTGCAGATTTTTTTTTGCACCCAAATAAACTCATTCTTTAATTTAATTTTTCCACACTCTTTTTAAAGCCTGCTTGTACCAGTCCCCAAACAAAAGTTTCACAAACAATATTTACCCTTAATGCATTGTGATATTTTAAGGTCTATTCTATTTCAGTTTTTAAAAAACACTGGCTAGGGGGTCAGCAGATGGTGTGGTGGTTAAGGCGCTAGACTCCCACATCACTGACTGAGGTTCAAGTCCTGAATCCAGTAACTTGGAGATCATGCCAGGCATGTGAGTACATGTGCCCAGAGGAGAATGAAGGAGAAGGGATGTTGCTGTGGCCACCTCCACAGGGGTGATTTCTCACTTTCCCTCTCACTGTCCCTCTCTGTCTCTTTCTGGTGAGCCCACACACCCTATAGTAAAAACTTTTAAAAAAAAAAAGAAGAAGAAGGAGAAGGAGAAGGAGAAGCTGGCCAGGACTCACTGCACTGATGCACACGTGACCTGAAGTTTGGAAGCCGTCACTTTTAAGCCTTTGAAAGTCAGACACCAGGAAGTGGGGTCTAGAGGGTATCGAGAAGGAAGGGGACTAGATGCTCAGCCTTTGCCTTTCATTTGGGCTCGATTTAGAAAATAAGAACAACAGGTGGCCTGAAAAATAGACTCAGGGAGAAGGTAGAGGCAGCGGGAGGAATTTCTGTGAATGGGTGACTATCCCTTACCCAAACTGCTCGAGACCAGAAGCGTTTCGGATTAAATTATTTTGCATATTTTGGAATAGTCACATGTACATAAGGTATCTTGGAGATGGGACCCAAGTATGAACATGAAATTCATTTATTATTATTGTTTCTTTAATTTGCTAGAGGGCATGTGTGCTTGCCAGAGAGAGAGAAAGAGAGAGGGAGGGAGAGTGAGAAAGCATTCCCGGTGTGGGATGATCATACTGCAATCTCTTCTCCATTTCTCCCTCCTTTTGGGATTTTAGGCAAATACACACACATACACACAAACACTTAGCATGTTCCCTAAGCCTATGGCAAACACCTAAAAAAAAAAAAAAGATGCTAGATGCTAGTGTGTATTTTTCCACATTCTTACCAATACAGAGTATTGTCAGTGTTTTATTATTTTTGCCAGTCTGATTGAGGTACAATGATCGTTGTTGTCACGGTTCGTATTTTTTAGATTTTAGTGAGGTTGAGTATGTTTACTGGTCTATACATTTCCCCCTATAAACTGCTGGTTCATATATATCTTGCCCATTTTAATTTTTTCCTTACTGATTTGTTTGAGTCCTTTGTAAATGAAAAAAATTAGTTCTTTGTCAGAGGTACTATTCAAAAATTTCCCCTGGTTGTCATTTGCCTTTTTATTTTATGATGAGTTTTCTGTGCAGAGTTTTTCACTCTTTAGTTAGTCAAACTTATCCAGTTTCTTAAAAATGGCACCTCAGTTTTGCTATTCACACCTAAAGTTCTGCCAGAGTCTAAGATTACTACAGGAAAAAATTCTATGCCTATGTTTTCTTTTACGGTTCCTGTGGTTTTGTTTTTTTCCCTCCATCTAAATCTCTGGCATATCTGGAGTTAATCTGGATATGAGGGAAAAGCTTTCAGTTACTACATAGTTACTCCAGATAGTCTAAAAGTTGAGTGTCCCAAAAGATGCCCTCCATTTTTTCCCCATTTTACTTGAGAAAAGGCTTCTTATTCATTGTCAGCAGGCATGTATGCTCACCAGAGAGACAAAGAAAGAAAGAATGAAATAAAGGGGGTGTGAGCACCCCCCAGCAGGGCATGGTCATGTCTCAATCCCTTCTCCTCCATTTTGCCCTCCTGCCAGAGTTTCAGACATGTATGCACACGTGCCAGGTGTGTTTTTCAGGCAGTCGGGAATAGAATTTGAACTGTAGTCAACCAGGTGGGATCCAGCTTCCTTAGTCATTAGGCTATGAGGCTGGCCATATTTTTTTTTTCAATGATAGCTTTTTATTATACATTTAAGTGACTTCAGAATTGTAAAAACCATTAATGACTATTAAGTTGAGTAACTCAGTAACTTTTTGCTCTAAATTCACTTGTAGCATTTTTAAATGCTTGTGCTCTTTATTTGAGTTGGAATGCATACACTCACTCTAGCGCAACCTTTGGGTTTGTTTTCTGTGTGTACATGGGGACAAAAACCGAGGACCTAGCCCTGTTTCCCTGAAGATTCCATCCCCTGGTATCTGACCCGTATTGGATTAAAACTGTGTTTCAAGCTGTGTGCGTCCTGAAATCAGTTTCGTGAGTCATGACTGGCATTTTAAAGAAATAGACTAGAAGCCAGTTTCTTTTCTGCATTAAAAAAAAAATTTTACAAAGGTGAGGACCAACTGTTAGCGTAATGGCTATGTCGCTGGACTCCCATGTGGTCTACCGCGGTTCGCATCCCGGACCTGGTGGCTTAAAACTCTTGCCGGGCACGTGTGCGTGCATGCCCAAGATCCCAAGAGGAGAATGGAGGGGAAGGGATTGCGGCATGGCCATCCCCCCGGGGGACGTGATTTCTCACTTTCTGTCTCTCTGTCTCTCTCTGTCTGGCGAGCGCACGTGCCCTATAGCAAAAAACCTCTCAAAAAAAAATTTACAAATGGTATATACACTTGCAAGAGAGAGACAGACAGACAGAGACAGGGAGAAAGGGAGAAAGCAACTCCCCCGTGGGAAATAGTCATGCTGCAATCCCTCCTCCTCCATTTCTCCACCCTGCCGGGATTTGGGGCATGCACACACATGCACTGGCCTGTTTTTCAAGCCACCAGGGCCAGGATTCAGACCACGGTTGGCCATGTGGGATTCAGCTGCCTTAACCAGCAGAGCTTTCCCTTGTATCTGGTTATTTAAGTGCACATTTCCACAGAGGAGCACAGTCCACATAGTTGTCACTTAAAAAAAAAATTGACCAAGAGCATGTGTGCTTGCCAAAGAGAGATACACAGGAAGAGAGACTGAGGTAGGAGCAAAGGGAAAAAAATCAGCCCTCAATGGGGTGTGGTCAGGTCACAGTCCCTCCTCCTCCATTTCTCCATCCTGTAGGGATTTTGAGCGCATACGCACATGCGCCTGGCGAGTCTTTTAAGCCGCCAAGGTTAGGATTCAGATCATGATTGGCCATGTGGATCTGGCTCCATTAACCAGTAGGCTATGGGACCAGCCCCCACATAGTTGTCACTTTTGAAATCTTAGAATGTTCTTGCCTCAATGCCAAGATTTCGTGGAGTGGTGTGACGAGAGGCTAGAACTCCACGGTGGGCAGGGAGGGCGCGGTCCCTGCTGCTGTGTTTTTTCTGAGGAAGGTTCTGTAGGTGAGATCTAGGGAAGCACTCTGCCTCTGGGGAGTCAGAATTGCCGCTAAGACAGCTGACGGTGAAATGACCGAGAGGGAAAGGAGCGTGAGGTGAACCCCAGTGAGGGTTTTGAGTAAGGGGTGAATTTTGTAAGGAGAAAGAGTAGTTGACAGAAGGGAACAGCAAAACCAAGAGCATAGGACGTGCCTATTTGTCCTGCCACAGTCTGCACCTGCGTCCAACGGCTCTCTTCTTCTCTCGTAGCGTCCTTCTCTATTCCCAAGTTCTACATCAGCCCCGCCGGCGTGATCACGGAGGGAGATCAGCTGCACATCAGGTGCACCATTCAGGTCACACATCTGGCCATGGAGTCTCCGGAAATCATAATCCAGAAGGACAAGGCGATTGTGGCCAACAGCAGACACAGCAACGAGGCCGTGTACTCAGTGATGGCCATGGTGGAGCACAACGGCAACTACACGTGCAAAGTGGAGTCCAGCCGCATAGCCAAGGTCAGCAGCATCGTGGTCAACATCACAGGTAGGGCTGCCGGCCTGTACTGCTTGTTCTCAGCCACAGGAATGTGCCGCGGGGTGGGGGAACGCTGTCAAGTTGGCTCAGGGCGTGTCTTTACCATCTGGAACAGTGCCTGGCACACAGCAGGGTGAGAAAGCAAACCGCTAGGTCTGGGACTTGAATCACAGTCAGTCTTGTGGTAGTCCATTACCCTTAGCCACCGTGCCACGTTCTGGCTCTAGCAACTTTATTTTTTAAACTTTTACTTCTTCTTCTTATTTTTTTCAATTTGACCAGAGAGAGAAAGAGGGAAAGTGAGAAAGCAAGCTGCCACGTCTGGGACTCAAACCATGGTCAGCCATGTGGGAGTCCAGCACCTTAACCCCCACTCTACCTGCTGGCCCATAATACATACTTTTGAATAAAGGCACTAAGCATGGATGACGGTGTCCCAGAGAGAGTCAGCAGCCCCTGGTTCTGCAGAGAAAGCTGGTCACTCCTGCCTGCATCCATTCACTCACCTACTAAAGGGGATCGTCACAGCCACAGTCCCCTAAGTCATGATGTAGCTTTCTATGCAAAAATGGTCATGATTTTCCTGATGACCCAGTACTTAACCATTGATAATGACAAGTATTTTGATGGCTCCTGGTATTGTTAACTGACAAGGTTTGTAAGATCTTATTAGAGAAAAGTATCCATTCAACATATAGGAGTATCTTCCATATGTGGGGCAAGCTGCTGGCCACAGAGAACTTACACACACATTCAGTTTGAGAAGCTCAGCTTGGGTGGCCCCAGGACCCATAGTCTGCCCACCGGAAGTCTTATTCTAGGCCAGGTTTTGCCTTTGAAGAGCTCACAGACTGAATAGAGCAGCTTGCTGCGTTTTCTTTTCTTTTTTTTTTTTTTTTTTTTTTTGGAGAGGTTTTTGCTATAGGACGCATGTACTCGCCAGAAAGACAGAGAGAGACAGAGAAAGAGAAAGCGAGAAATCACCTCCCAGGGGGGATGGTCACGCCGCAATCCCTTCTCCTCCGTTCTCCCCTTGGGATCTTGGGCAGGCACGCACACGCGGCTGGCGTGAGTTTAAGCCGTCGAGTCTGGGACTCGAACCGCGGTCGACTATGTGGGAGTTCAGCGACATAGCCATTATGCTAACTGCTGGTCCCATTGCTGCATTTTCTTGTAATAGCCCAGATGCACTTCAGGACACTCTGTCTAGGACATGTTCCCTGGATAACTTCTTCTGAGAGGCCTTTCCCTAAGTCTCTAAGCCTAGGTTTACTGTTTCTTATATGGGTTCTGCTGCAAACGTTATGTCTGAATCACTCCCTAGACATAACTGTTTCTTATTCCCTGCTGTCTCTCCAGTGTCCAAGATTATTACTTGCGGTGTTACAAATTGCAGAAACTTTTCTAATCCATGTCTGTGAAATTAATTGTATTGGGCCAGCTCCATGGCTTGGCGATTAGGACAGCCAGATCCCATATAGCTGACTGTGTGGTTTGAGTTCTGGACCCAGTGGCTTGAGAAATACACTGGGTGTGAGTGCATGTGTGTGTGCCCAGAATCCCAAAAAGAGGGAGATGGAGAAGGGATTGTGGCATGACTATACCCCAGGGGAAGTGCTCTTCCCTCTCCCTCTCTCTGTCTCTCTCTGGTGAGTGCACGTGGTCACCAACCAGAACAAACAACAACAACAAAAAAAAAAAAAAAGGAGAAAGAAATTAGATTAACATGGGAAGAAACCCTCCCATTGGAATCCTGGGCCAGGAATGTTTAATGTTTAATGCTAATTGTTTAATGGTGTGATCATCAGGGGAATGAATAGCAAAAGAAAATATTACACCGATTTGGGGGTTTGCCAACAGCAACTGGACCTCAGGTCTCTCTAGGAAGGGATTTTGGGGTGGTGGCCAGACATGTCTTGCCCCATTCCCATTTGCTGTTTTTCAGAATTATTTTCCAAACCGAAGCTGGAATCTTCCTCCACACGTCTAGACCAAGGTGAAAGCCTGAACCTGTCATGCTCCATCCCAGGAGCGCCTCCGGTCAACTTCACCATCCAGAAAGGGGACACGATTGTGTCACACACTCCAAATTTCACCAAGATAGCCTCCGCGTGGGACAGCGGGACATACACCTGCACTGGAGCCATTGGCAAAGTGGTCAAGACGAGCAGCCCAGTCCAGATCACAGTGTGTGGTGAGTAGTCCTCGTGGGCAGAGAGCTCTGGTATTGCGTGAGAGAGGGGGAACTTCTAGCCAGCTGTCGCCTCTCCCTTCTGAATGCAGAGCAGACTCAGGCAGGGTAAGAACTTCAGGGAAAGAGAGAGGGCAAAATCAAGAGGCCGAACAGAAACAAGCAGGTATCTTTGTTCAGAGCCCAGGAGAGAAGCAATATGAGGACAACGTGACTGCTCAAAATCAAGTTCATGGCTTTATTGTGACTGCATGCTGGTGATACGGCCCTGAGTTGGCAAGATTCTGCCGCTAGAGCAGGCATCCACCCAAAAGGTTTATAAGGAAACACTGCTTAGTCAATGGTGAACTTTAAGAAGATCTGAATTCCAGTTTTTGACCCTATCTTGCCTGTCCAGGAGTAAGACTTCTGGTGGGCAGAATGTGGGTACTGGGGCCACCCAAGCTGAGCTTCTCGAGCTGAATATGCATGTAAGACAAAGTTAAGATACAGGTCAATTCAGGAGGTGAGGATGGGGCTGGGGTCTGCATCTCTAACTGGCACCTTGGTGATGCCACTGGTCCTGGACCACATTTTGAGTAGTGAAGTTCTTTTTTTTTTTTCATTTTTCATTTTCTTTTTCCAATTTGCCAGACGGCGCATGTGCTTTCCATAGAGAGACAGAGAGACAGAGTGAGAACGAGAAGGTGAAACTATCCCCCAATGGGATGTGGTCACACCACAATCCCTTCTCCTCCATCTCTGCATCTGGTGGGATTTGGGTCACTAGTGCACTTGTACCCAGTGTGTTTTTCAAGTCACCGGGGATTTGAACCATACAGTCAGCCACGTGGGATTTGGGTTACTTAACCACCAGTTCTCAGAGCCAGCCTGAGTAGTGAAGGTTTGTTTTTTGTTTGTATGTATGTATGTATGTATTTATTTATTTATTTATTTATTTATTTATTGGAGAGCTTTTTACTATAGGGCGTGTGCACTCATAAGAAAGACAGAAAATGAGAAATCACTCCCCAGGAATCCCTTTTCCTCCATTCTCCTCTCGGGATCTTGGGCATGCACACACACACGTGCCAGATGTGAGTTTAAGCCGCCAGGTCTGGGACTCGAACTGCGGTCGATTACATGGAAGTCCAGCGACATAGCCATTACGCCATCTCCTGGTCCCCCTCAGTAGTGAAGTTTTAAGTGAATGTGGAACCCATTTGAACTGTCACTGTCACTATTATTCAGTCACAGTCCTTCAGCTTAAACTGTGGCTAAAATCCACCTGAGATTTTAGTCTTGACTGAACCAAGATTTAAGCCTATTGCCAATGGTCTAACCATCTAACTCAAAGGAAAGAATGAGGCCAGCCCTGTGGTCTAGTGGTTAAGGGAAGCTGGATCCCACATAGACAACTATGATTCAAATCCTGGCCCTGGTGTATGAGAAACACGCCAGGCATGTGTACCCCAAATCCTGACATGACGGAGAAATGAAGAAGGGTTTGCAATATGACTACGCTCCATTGGGGGGATACTTTCTTCCTTCTCCCCACCTCCTTTCTAGCAAGTGCATGCACTCTCCGGCACCTTAAAAAAACCTCAGGAAATAATGCAAGAGACAGATATGGGATATTACATTTTAATTTGTTGTTGTTCTTGGGAGGAGGTAATTTTATTTTGTTAAGGTTTATAAATAAGCTAATGTCTAAATAATGACTAAATAGAATTCTTATCTCTTGAGACATGCAATTTATTATTGAGGAGGCTAAGGTACTGAGAAGAACTTTTTTAAAGACTTATTTTCTTTAGATACTTGTTATACTTCCCTTGTGAGTTGTTGTTGTTATTGTTTTAATTATCAGAGGGCACATGAGCACCAAAGAGAGAAAGAGAAAGCACTTCCCAGTGGGGTGTGTTTATACCAAGACCCTTTCCTTATGCTTTTCTGTGTTTTGGTTCAACACAAAGAAAGTATATGTATGTGTGCATGTGCTATATACTATATTAACAGATAAATGCATTTATAAGGTTGTCGTTTTTTAAAATGTGTTATTGTTTAATTTGCTCATAGCACTTCTCTCTCCCTTACGCCTGAATGCTTGCACACATACATACACGAACACACACAGGCTGTCAGCCTAACAGGAGTCCCTTTAAGGTAGATAAGATGGGCAGGCATTTGAAATTATGGGTGTGACAGAGATAGCAAAGTCTACACTTTAGAGAAGGAATCTTTTGGCTGGATTCTTTCCTTCTGCTTTCAATATCATTTATTGGGTCGTCAGAAAAGTCATGAGACATCATGACCCAATGCGTTGTTTCTCCGTCTGTTGTTCCAGAAATGCTCTCCACACCCAAGATTTCTCACGACGCCAAGTCTGAGATCATAAAAGGACAGACCATCGAAATCAGTTGCCAATCAATAAATGGAACTTCGCCTATTTCTTATCACCTTTTAAAAGTAAACAACATTTTGGAGAGTCGTACAACGAACTCAAATGATCCTGTAGTATTCAAAGATAACCCAACCAAAGACACGGAATACCAGTGCATCGCAGATAATTGCCACTCCCATATTGAAATGTTCAGCAACGTTCTGAGGGTCAAGGTGATAGGTAAGTTGTAGCGCTATGAGAAGAAGTTATGTGGAATTGGGGCGTTAGTAAACATTTTTGAAAATTCAGGATTGCCTAGAGATCATAGGGACCGTGAGAAGTGGGTGGCACTTGTGCAATGCCAAGCCACATACTCATCAAAGCAGGACCAAAGTGTTGTAACTGGGGCTAGAAAGCATTTGGGGGCTATTCATATGGCTAATGTAATCTCTTTCCAGAAATGTCCAAAGGAACTGTTAAGATGATGTTAGAGAAAAAATATCCTGAGTCCAGGAAGTACTGAAGTGCTTTTGGATTCCCCTAGCACCTGCCCCTTTTCAGACAATCTGAGAGCCATCTCTGAGGACTGAAGCCCAGAGCTTTTCTGTCCAGCCGAGCCTCGGTGGGGCAGCTCTGTCATGTGGAGAACATACAGCAACCCAGAGCTAAAGGCTGTGGTTTTGTGGGAACTGCTAATGTTCGCCTGGGATTCTCACAGTCAAGAAAAGTACACTATTGTCTTGAGGGTGGATATTTTTCCTTAACTCTTCATCTCGTGCCTCTCAGAAGGCGGTCTTCCTTAGGAGTGCTATTCCTCGTGTCTCTTGGTTATAGATACCCTGTATCTTCCAAGAGGCTTAAAAGGTTTCCTCCTCTTCATCCCCGTCCTCCTTCTGCCTTTTTAAAATGTTTAAGTTTATTCATTATTATTTCCTCTGTGAGACAGAAAGTAAGAAACAGAGAGACAGTCATCCCTGAGAGGGTTTCAGAGAAGCCCGGGGATGGGAACCTGGGACCTTCTCCTGTGGGTCCGGTTGCATCACCGTCTGGTCCCATTTTTGTTTAAGAAATGCTTATCCACATATGCTGCTTTGGGCATGAGTTGTCCACAGGACAGAGATCCAGCAGGATTGAGAGTTCTGCTTCTATTACTGTGTAGTCTAAGAGTTGCCATGCTGTTCATGTTCACATCAACATAAAATAGACATTTAATGCTACAGGGCACCCAAAATTGTTTTCAATGGTACAGTAGAAAACAATCTCCTGACTCATTCAGGGAGAAGTACCTAAATAATGGTACAAGTAAGCATAGGCAAAAATGTCAGGGGGTAAGTGAATTAATGGTCACATGGACTATATCCTTACAATGATGATGATTATAATTCAAGGCATGGGATACATTATCTATCTTGAGTGGGAACATTTCACAAAAGAGCCGAGTGAGGAGTTAGGGCATGGTAGTGGGTGGGAGAGACAGCCTAAGATGGTCTACCATCTCTGGCCACCACATGAACTGGAGTCTCGGTGGGCAAATCCAATGGCTGGATACAAAGGTTGGGAATGGAAAGCTACTGGAGATAAACTCAAAAAGTGACTGAGCCCAACTGTGAGGGGCATCAAACATGTTTTAGGAGTTGGGAATTGTCCTGTGTGCAATGAAGAGTCAGAAGAGGGAAGAAGGACTTGATGAGAATGAATTGTTGGGAAGACTAAGCTGGTGGCTATATCAGTGAGGAGTGGAGACCTCAGACTACACCAAAAGACTAATGTCAAAGCACATCGGAAACTGTTGGATTAAATCGGACCAATACCAGTAATTAACATTTACTGAACTCTGTCCACATGTCCAACCCTGTGTGAAGTGGTATATTCAGTTATTCCAGCTAATCCAAAGCCATGTAAGACTGAGTGGTAGGATGCTTGTTTGGTAATGAGATAACCAAAGCTCAGCACCAATGGCTGGTGAGTGGTAGCTGGGAGGATAACCAAAGCTCAGCACCAATGGCTGGTGAATGGTAGATGTGATTCAAGCCTGCAGTCTGACTCCAGAGGCCAGTTTGCTATCCTCTGGGAGTCCGTCCTTGTGTGAGACCACCACCTCCCCAAGCCTGGTGCTCAGCTTCTTCTGACCAGCAGCTGTGTGGTCTCGCCATAGCAATCTCTTTGAGAGATTGGAAGTGCTGTACATCTTTGTTAAGCAGGAGAGACATCACACACACACACACACACATGCATACTAGCACAGAGTAGACCCCAACAGACCATGTAGTTAATCTCCAGTCAAGCAAAGTAATCAGTAATCTTTGAGTGGCAAGTGAAGGGAGACACCCCTAGGGTCTCATGTATAATTTAGTGAGGACAAAGAGGCATCTGTGGTTACCCTCAGGGTTCATCAAGGTCCCGTTCATGAAGAAACTGGGATAAGATCGATGACCTGAAGGAGAGTGCAACTCAAATCTGAGCCTGACTTGGGAGGGTGGCTGGCCAGGAGCAACGGCTGCTCCATTTTTCTTCTCTTCCCCCTCCTTGGCTCAGGGCTGGTTCTTATGCTTTTCAGCTCCGGTGGATGAAGTCACACTTTCTATCCTGTTGAATAATATGGTGGAGTCCGGCGAGGACATCACACTGCGATGCTCTGTGAATGAAGGGTCTGGTCCAATCACCTACAGGTTTTACAGAGAAAAGGAGAACAAACACTTCTACCAAACCACTGTGAATGACACCGAGGTATTTTGGAGCAAGACACAAGCGAGTAAGGAGCAGGAGGGACAGTATTACTGCATAGCCTTCAACAGAGCCAACAGGGCCAAGCATTTCCCCCAGAGCAACGTACTGACAGTCAGAGGTGAGTTGGCATCTCAGCTGCAAGGTGTCATGTGGACTCCAAGGTGTGAAGCCAGAAAACCTGCCACTTGTAAGAGGGGGTGGGCAGGAGGTTGCTCGCATCATGGAGGATTAAGAGATCAGTGTCTTCTAGGTTCTCTGGTTGCAAGTGACAGAAACCCACTAAAAGAACTTAAGTTAAAAAAGGAATTTATTAGGCTAAGGAGTTGGAGATTTTTCACATGGTCCCAAATTCCAGTTGTTGGCAGAGAGACACCCATTAACTCATCTCGAGTCAAACATTCATCCAGAGACTATCTATGGCCAAGAGAATTGGGTAATGCAGAAGGGACATGAGTAGGGGAGCCCACTTATGTAGGAGGAGTGTAGTTTCATCAAGAAGAAGGAAGGATGAACAGACACACCCAGAAAGAAGTCTTCTCCAGCAAAGATGAAGATTTCCTCCATCGCTGACCACAGAAACAACCATTTCTTCCCTGGCAGTGATGCAGAGTCCTGGGGAAGTTGACAGATGCTAAGGCAAGATGCCGGTTATAAAGCCTATAAAAATCAACTGCGTTTGTTGTTTGAGCCTGATATTTCTTGCTGGCAAAGAACTGGCCTATATATTTCTTTCATTTTTCTTTTTCTTTTTCTTTCTAGTCTTTCTTGCCCCATGGAAGAAAGGACTCATTGCAGTAGTTGTCATCGGAGTGATAATAGCCGCCTTGATAGTTGGGGCCAAATGCTATTTTCTGAGGAAAGCCAAGGGTGAGCACAATACTTTTCTTCCATCCTGACATCTGTGTTTGCCAGGAAACTGACCATGGATATGTGGTGCTTCAGTTTGTGGGGCTGGCACTCTGCCCAGTGGGAACTAAGGAGATGTAACTGTTTTTTCTCTTTGGGGAAATACCTTCATAACCAAAGGTTTTGGCTTTTGTGGGTGTGGAGCTTTTGCAGTTCCTGGATTTAGCTAGGCAGTGACCAAAGCAATTGCTCTCCTAGTTGGGCAAGCCAGAAAAGATGAATCTGGGGGGAAGTCGCATCTTCATGTGGTCAGAAGCTGTTCCTATAGATTTGGCAATACCTGGTCCTGTCATTGATAAAGTGGGGTGTGAGTGTCATAGACATGTGTGTGCATACATGCGTGCGCGCACACACACAATGAATGTCTCCCAATTGACCGTCCATTCTGCCATGATTTCGCCCTGTGCTTGGACTTAGTCCAGCAGGGATAGCAAGCCAGAACCACCCGCTGACACTCAGGGATCAGAGTCTGCTAGTACAGACTCTAGGAAATGGGCACAGCACAATAAATTCTGGAAGTGTTGTTGTGGGATAAGGTGGGTTCTTTCAGACTTTGGGAGCTGCTGCTGGAGCAGATGGAATGAGGAAAAGTCCCGGGCTTTTTCTCAAGTGAGAAAGCTGCAACTCCTCTGGGGAGATAGGCTCCAGTATGAGCCCCTTCCCAAGGCTGCCCCGGTATTGGGGTCAGGCTGACTTGGATTAAAAGCATTTGGGTTGATTTAAGCTTTACTCTTTGGAGTTGTCCTGAATCAAAGGGATGGCTTCCCACTTACCTGTTAAATTTGGCTTCTGTACCACTGTCTTCACGTTCATCACTTGCCACTATCAAAAATTGCTTCTGGTTAAAATAGTCAAAATGGGGGCCAGCAGTTAGCATAATGGCTATGTTGCTGGACTCCCATGTAGCGGACCACAGTTTGAGTCCCAGACCTGGTGGCCAGGCCCGTGTGCGAGCGTGCCCAAGATCCCGAGAGGAGAATGGAGGAGAAGGGATTGCGGCATGACCATCCCTCCTGGAGGGTGATTTCTCGCTTTCTATCTCTCTGTCTTTCTGGCGAGTGCACGTGCCCTATAGCTAAAGCCTCTCCAAAATAAATAAATAAATAAATAAAGTCAAAATGTCCTATTCCAGGGAAATAATGCGACATGTCTTTCTATCAGTGGAGAAAATGCCCTTTCTTTCTCTCCTCCCTTCCTGTGTTCCTCCCTCCCTCTCTCCTCCCTCCCCTGTTCTTTTTAAAGCATGAATATATTTGATTTTCTTTTCTCTCTTTTTATGAGTACTCAATCTTCAGAAATGTCAGTGTGGTTGAGACGACTGTTCCTACCTGGGATGGATGTGGGTGCCTTGTATTAATTGGGTTTTTCTCTTTCTTTTAAAGCCAAGCAGATGCCGGTGGAGATGTCCAGGTCAGTGCACTTAGAAGAGGGGGCAGCTGCTTGTGGGAATAGATGGACTTTTCTGTACGGAGAGTCTGGTCATTGGGTGGTTTCCAGAGGTACTTGGCAAACTCAGAAAAATAAGGGCCTTAGCTGTGAGGTGTGTGTGTGTGTGTGTGTGTGTATGTGTGTGTGTGTGTGTGTCTCCATAGGAGGTTGCCGACGGTCCCTTTCCTGGGAAGGAATGGCCTTTATTCTGCGATCATGCCCTTCCTAGACTATTACCTGTGAAATTCCCCTTTCCTTATAAAATTATACTAGTAGGTAAAACTTTAGATTTTTACTTACTTGGCAAAATAGAGCTGGCCTAAAAAATTGGTTTTACTACCTTTACTGTTCTTGAAATCCAGGATTAAAATGTATGGAAACGATTGCTTGTTCCTGGGACCAACAGTAACCCAGGGCGTGAAATTCAGGGAGCTGGGAGTGTTCCAGTAAAGGCTTCCTAGTATCTCTGTGCCTTTTGGTCCTGACATTTATTTTTTTAGATTTTATTTATTCATTCATTTATGTTTAATTTGACAGAGAGAGAGAGAGAAAGAGGGAAAGTGAGAAAGCAAGCCACCAGGTCCAGAACTCGAACCATGGTCAGCCATGTGGGAGTATCCAGCGCCTTAACCACCATGCCACCTGCTGGTCCCCCCTGACACATATTTTAACAGCAAAAAGTTTTATCAAATAATTCTGGAGGTGGAAACTATGTTAATTTTCCAAATGAGAGAGTAAAATTTTCCTCACCTTAGAAAATCCTTCCTGGTTTTCTTGAGATCTTCCTTTGATTATTTTGTTGGTTTGGAGATAGGGTTTTTTTTTTTTTTTTTAAGTGTTTTATATATATAATTTTTTGTTTCAAAATGTTCATGGAAAATGGAATTAAAGTCCAAGTTTATTTTGGTACGAAAGCGTTCGAAATTTTTGCAGTTTTTTCATATGCATTTGCCATGAACTTTCTGAGGTCCCCTGTGTGTGTAGACACATGTACATAGACACACATTATACGTTTCTTTTTAAATTTTATTTTAAGGACAGCAGCACCACTCCTGAACTCCAATGAGATGTCAGATCCCAACACCGAAGTTAACAGTCATTACGGTAAAGTCACGATTTCCTTCTATGGCTAAGAGTTTTTCCCGTAGAGTCTGCATATATTTCCTTAGCCCTCTTAGAAGTAGAATTTGTAAGCAGGGGCTGAAAGGTGGAAGGGAAACCCTGACTTCAAACAGGGGTGCTTCATCTTGTTGGCCCCTGAATGGTGGGCTAAGAAAACAAAACCTTCAAAGGAAAGGCAGGACATTTTTGTTCTGATTTCATCACCTTATCAACTTCCTGTGGAATAAAAGATGGAGAATAATCATGCCTCAGTAGCTTCAGAGACTGAGTATTACCCAAGCATAGTCACTCTCCACTTACGAGACAGAGAGCAGATTTCAAATGAAGACATTAGTAAAACCTCTCAGAGGGAATGCGAATAATGGTAGTAGAACAAAAATGTGACTTCACATTTTTCGTAAGAAAACCAGTTTAAAGATGTCTTCTTAGTGGAGACGTAAACGCGTGTTCCAGTGAAGAATAGGAGATAACACCCCCTAATGGGGCATGGCCACACCATTATCCTTTCTCCCTTTCTCCACCCTGCTGGGATTTGGGGCATGAGCACACACGTACCTAGTGTGTCTTGTTCAACCCAACCCGGTCAGGACTCAAACCAAACCTTGCTGTTGGCCCTGTGCGATCTCACTGCCTCAGCCATCCAGCCATGGAGCCGGCCCAGGAGTTCTTATGGTCCCATTAGATTTATGAGGAAACTACTCCAGCATTTTTTTTTTTTTTGAGAGATTTTCGCTACAGGGCGCGTGCGCTCGCCAGACAGACAGAGAGAGACATAGAGACAGAAAGCGAGAAATCACCCCCCAGGGGGGATGGTCATGCCGCAATCCCTTCTCCTCCATTCTCCTCTCGGGATCTTGGGCACGCACGCACGCACATGCGCCCGGCGTGAGTTTTAAGCCACCGGGTCCGGGACGCGAACCACGGTCGACTACGTGGGAGTCCAGCGCCATAGCCATTACGCTAACTGCTGGTTCCCACTACTCCAGCATTTTAGCAGAGATTCTAATGTCTTCCCAGAGGGGGCTATAATTGTATCCCACAAAAAGTTCTGTCTTCGGGATCAGCCCATGGCATGGTGGGAAGGTGGCTGGATCCCATGCGGCTGACTGGTTCCAGTTCTGGACCCAGTGGCTTGAAAAACACACCGGGGGAGTGTGTGTGCATGCCCCAAATCATGAGGAGAATAAAGGAGTAAATCGCGGCATGGCTATCCATCCCCGGGGGGTGATTTCTTACTTTTTCTTTGTCTCCTCCTGTGAGTACACACACCCTATAGCAAACAAAAGACCAAAAAAGCAATGTGCCAATAAAAAGAAAAGAACAAATATATAGTTGAAGAAATGATATTCCAAAGTAAACAAACCATAACAATAAAACAAGAAATTATACTCAGAAAAATGTAGTGACTATTTAGCAAAAAGTAACCCATGGCTGTGGAAAAAACAATACCTTCTTGGTATGGAGGGATTAATACTATTTGTAAGTACAGCAATGCTTTAAATTAAGTGTTATTTATTTATTTATTTATGACAGATTTTTGCTATAGGGTGCATGTGCTCACCGGACAGAGAGACAGAAAGCGAGAAATCACTCCCTAGGGTTATGGCCATGATGAATCCATTCTCCTCTGTTCTCCTTTTGGGATCTTGGGCATGTGCACACACTCACGCCCGGTGTGGGTTTTAAGCCACTGGGTCCAGGACTCAGACTGCAGTTTCACCATGTGGGAGTCCAGGGATGCAACCTTTATGCCATCTGCTGGTCCCAGTGTTGATATATATTTATATTAAAGTAGGATTTTCTCCAAAACTTAAAATGTGAGAAATACTCTAATCATTTCATCTATTCTCTCTGCATAGATTATTTCAGTTTATAAACACATTTTAATAACATAGTAATTAGCACAAATACATGATAGAAAACAAGGTATTTTTCAGGAATGGTATTTATACCATTTTTTGAAAAAATAATTATTTATTTAATTTTTAAATTTATTCACTCATTTATTTTAATTTGACCAGAGAGAGATACAGAGAGAGAGGGAGAAAGTGAGAAAGCAAGCCACCAGGTCTGGAATTTGAACCATGGTCAGCCATGTGGGAGTGTCCAGAGCCTTAACCACCACGACACCTACTGGTCCCCCATGTTTATTTATCTCTTCCATGAGATAAATAGATGGCTATGTTGCTGGACTCCCATGTAGTTGACTGTGGTTCAAGTCTCGGAAACCATGCTTCCATAAAATGAGAAGAGAAAGAGTGAGAGAGCACCTCCTGGCAGGGTCTTCACACCGTGATCCACCCCCAGCCTCAGCCAGCCAAGATCATGGCACATTCCTGCCCAGCATGTACAGGGAGACCTTGGGACATTAGAGCCTGGGGCCTTCCCATGTGGCTTTGGCACTGCAGAGCAGTTCATTAATGCTGCATTACCGCAGCTGATCTCTAACATTTTTATAAAGCATTTTTTATAAATAATGACTTGATAAAACCAATAATTTTTATTGGTCTGTGCCCACAAAGTGATAGCCTAGAGACACTAGTGTTTCTTTTTCTTTTTTTGAGAAGTTTTTGCTATAGGGCACATGCACTCACAAGAAAGACAGAGAGAGACAGAGAGACAGAAAGAGAGAAATTAACTCCCCCCCAAGAGAGCATGGCCACACCACAATCCCTTCTCCTCCATTCTCTTCTCGGGATCTTGGGCATGCACGCACACCCGCCCGGTGTGAGTTTAAGCCACCAGGTCTGGGACTTGAACCACAGTCCACTACATAGGAGTCCAGCAACATAGCCATTATGCCAACTGCTGACCCCAACACTGCTATTTCTTTAACCCATGTTCTCATCAGTCCAGTTCTCCAGCTGGAGAAAGTTAGCCAGCATCCTTCATGTTGGCAGTTACTACCTGGTCCTTTCCAGAGCAAGTTCAAATTCTAATAAATCTGCTCACATTTAGCAATTCTGAGTTCTGAATAATACATCAACAGAAAGAGACCACACCGAGGGTCAGATGGATCCCAAAGGGAGACCCAGTAGTGAATCCAGAACCCAAAGACAGGGGGTTGTCACCTACTCTGAAGACATTGTACTTCCTTTGTTAGTGGCACTGAATTTTTAAAAAACACATAGAAAACTAGAATTTTTATTGTCACTCATCCTAACTTATTTTTCAACTAGGTTACAATGATGATGTTGGAAACCATGCTATGAAACCAACAAACGAAAATAAAGGTAATTACTTAGTTAAATGTTTATATTAAAAAATGACTCATAGGAAAATAAACTGAAAACTGTTAAGATCAGTGGATACTTTCCCACCTCTCTCTTAATGACCCTGAAATAGATATATAAAAGAAGTTGGCTAATTGCTTTCTCCAAAGATGCTATTGAGTGTCCTTAAATCTATTGGGTTATACCTAAAAAGCAACTTCCTGATTCAGAATGAGCTACCCAGCACAGTGGTAGGGTTTCTCCTCCCTTTTGAGGTTTTTTTCTAGACAGGGTCTCATTGTTAGGATCCCCTGCCAGCTGGCACTACAGGTACTCACCTTCATACCCAACTCTTTGAGGTCATGGTCTTGCTCTGTTATCTGGGTCAGCCTCAAGTTCATAATCCTCCTACCTCAGCCTCCAGAGTTGTTGGGATAGGTGCACACCACCACTTCTGGCCTTTAGCTTGAACTTTAGGTTGACCTGGGACTAGAACCTGAGCCTCCCATGTGGTTGCAGCCTGTAGAGCATAGTGTATTGGCTGCATGTACCACTGTGGCTGGGCCAGGTGGAGATTTTTCCTTTCCTTTTCTCTTTTTCTAATTTGCTATGGGGCACATATGCTCACTGCAGAGGCAGACAGAGAGAAAGAGAGGGAAAGTGAGAGAGTACCTCCCAGGAGGGATGACCACACCGCAGTCCCTTCTCCTCCACTCTCCTCTCAGGATTTTGGGCACATGTGCACCTGTGTGTTTTTCAAGCCACCAGGTCTGGACTCGAACCACATAGTTGGCCATGTGGGATCCAGCCACATTGGTCATCATGTTGTTTGGCTGGCCCTAGGTGGAGAGGTTTGTTTGTTTGTTTGTTTGTTTGTTTTAATAGAAATTTTTGCTATAGAGTGTGTGCCAGAAAGACAGAGAAAGGCTGAGAGACATAAAGTGAGAAATCACCCCCCACACACAGGGGGGATGGCCACGCTGCAATCCCTTCTCCTCCATTCTCCTTTCAGGATCTTGGGCATGCACGCACACACACCCAGTGTGAGTTTAAGCCATCAGGTTTGGGATTTAATCTGCAGCTGATTACATGGGAGTCCAGCAACATAGCCATTATGCCAACTGCTGGTCTCCCCAGGTGGTGATTTTTAAAGACAATTAAAAGACAATAGATTGCTTGCTTCTGCCTAAAGCTAGGAGGGATTCAACTAAATTATTTTCCAGAACTTCTTTTTGCTCTGGGAAACTAACCTGGGAGCTAAAGTTCCTAGAGAAATAAAGGGAGTAGAGACCCCTTTCTATAAAATATCCCCTTTTTCACAGAGAGATTTTTGCTATATGGGTGTGTACACTTGCCAGAGACAGAAAGTGAGAGATCAACCATCCAGGGGCGATGGCCAAGCCACAATCCCTTCTCTTCCACTCTCCTCTCAGTATCTTGGGTATGCATGCACATGCACCCAGTGTGAGTTTTAAGCCTCCAGGTCTTGGACTCAAACTGTAGTTGACTTCGTGGGAGTCCAGCAACATAACCATTATGCCATTTTCTGGTCCCTGTATAAAATATCCCTGACTGCAGAATCACTGTGTTTTTAGAAGTTAATGAGAACCCCTTCTTCTTTGGGGCTGAAAAACAGAACAATAATATTATTTTGAGTCGGGGCCAGCAGGTGGTGTGGTGGCTAAGACCTGGATTCTCGCATGGTCAGCTGAAGTTTGAGTCCCAGACCCGGTGGCTGGGAACTCACGCCAGGCACGCGTGCGTGCCCAAAATCCCAGGAGAAAAATGGAGAAGAGATTGTGCTTTGGCTCATCCCCCGGTGGGTGATCCCACACTTTCCCTCTCACTGTTGCTGTCTCTCTCTGGTGAGTGTGTGAGTCCCACAGTAAAAACCTTAACCAAATTATTTTGAGTTGAAATCAAATTCCTTTTTTAAAGGAATTGTTTTATTTATTACATTTTATCTGTTATTATTATTTTTTATTTTGGCCAAAGAGAGACAGAGAGATAGAGAGAGAAAATGAGAAAGCTAGCCACCGGTCCGCGACTCAAACCACGGTCGACCATGTGAGAGTCCATTACCCTAACCACCACACCACCTGTCAGCCCCAAGCTGAAGACACATTTCTTCAGGCGTTCACCATAGCACCCTGAGTGAGTCCAGTAACTGCCGTGCCTCACATTCTCCAAGTATTTTTAGGCTAGTGGCTCTCATTCCCCGTTTCCTGAGCTCCGTTTGCTCATTGAGGTAGCTGGGTATGCCTGCAGGAGTACAGAAGGCTCCCTGCATTTTCAGTGAGACGGACAGACGGAACTGCTGGGCTGACCCTGGGCTGTTTTCTGCAATCTATTGGCCGGTTGGTACAAAACCTTCCACTATAGAAATGAAGACCTACCTAGGCAGGAGCGTCCTTTCATGCCCAAGAAATGAATCAGAGAGGAGATCCCTGGGCCTAAGTCCTGCCTCTGCCTCCCGGGCCAGAGCAGAGCCCATCCTGCCTCTGTACCCTGAGCCTTTGTCCACGTAGAATGGAGGGAAGCCCCTTTCTCACTGGCCCCCTAATAAGGAATGTTTTAATAGTTGTGGGACCAGCGCTTCACATGGTGGTTAAGGTACTAGATACCCACATGGCCTATCGCAGTGTGAGCCCCGGACCTGGTGTCTTGCTTTCTCACTTTCCCTCTTTCGCTCTGTCTCTCTCTGGTGAGTGCATATGCCTTATAGCCAATTAAAATAATAATAATAAACACAAAATTAGCATGAATAATTTTTTAAAAAAAGGGAAAAGAAAAAATCTCTAATGCAGTCTGAGGTGCCCGAGGAGAGCCCATCTAAATGCACGATGCTGTGGTCCCTTTGAGCAGAGCCGCTGACCTCGGACGTGGAGTACACGGAAGTGGAGGTGACCCCAGCCGAGCCTCACAGAGGTAAGTGCCGCTCACCCCAGTGATCCCCATGCTTGCTCTTGGCTTTGGGAGGGGCGTCGTGCCCAGTGAGGAAAGCTGAGGCACCTTCAGTCACTCAAAAGGGAGCTGGCCAGCCAAGGCCCTGTTCTAGGCTTCGGCCTGCCAAAGTTTGATTCTCATTAGTTATGACGCTACAAATAATAGGTAGCATTGTTTATTGAGCATTTACTAAGTGCCAAGCAGTCACTACAGGTTGAGCAATTTTGTTTCTGTGAAAGAAACTTCCAGGGCAGCCCCTTGGAGTCCTGGTTGTTTAGGTTTTCTTCCAGAGGTACCCCTCTTGCCCACACCTGGTGTGTTCCTAAAGTTGCCTGTGTAGACGGAATGTGTGTAGATCACATGCACAGTCCGAGCTGTCGAGGCATTGCTATTGAGGACCCCAGGGTAAAGGTGCTCGGGAGCACAGACTCCCTTTCAGAGTGTGCAGTGGTGTTGGTCCCGTGCCTCGGGTCTTGCTTTCGTGTGCTGCATCTCAAGGGCAGGATGGCCAGGACGTCCCTTCCTCTGGTTCTGGCCTGGGGAGACAGAAGCAGGATGGACCAATGTGCAGCAATGCTAGACCATCCCTCTCAGCTGCTTCGGCACCGTGAAGACGTGCCTACCCTACCCTTCCTCCACCAGAGCTCTCCAGAGCTCCTGCACGCCCCAGGGAAACTGCCATCTGAGGCTCCCAGCTCTGCCGGGCAGCTCCTAGGACCATTTCCTAGGAAATATCCACTCCCTAAAAAAAACTGCTGAGACCAAGGCCAGGCGGTCCCTTCAGCCAGGCAGGCCCAGGGCAGCTATCCTAGCTAAGTCCATCTATCACTAGCCAGGGCCACGTGGCGATGCTGTTTTCAAGCCACCTCTTGCTCTGTGATCAGGGAGGATTCCTCCCTCCTTCTTTTACTTAGAACAGTTCTGGCACCATGTCGGCAGGTATGTGCACAGAACTTTCCAGACAGGCTGTCCTTACAGCCCCTAGGTTGTGTGCTGCACTGGGCACCATTTCCAGAGCCTACCATCAGAATAGCCCCTGGAGTTGGGTACTGCCCAATCCATGCAGCTACATGGGCATCCCTCTTCCAAGTCTAGGCAGGGCCTGAGAGAGGTGGAGAGCATGGCAGGCCTCCAGTTCTCTATTTCATTGTGGGGTGGTCCCCTTGGTGAGATAACAGATCACGCTGAGTGCCCATTTTGGACCAGCTACCATGGAAGGTACATGCAACAAAGGCACACGGGGCCCTTCCGTCATAGACGTCTAGCCTAAGAGGGAGCCGGGAAACCCGGGAACCAAGCAGGAGACAGCACCAGGTTCCAGCGTGTGCTCTGGAGGAGAACGGGGTGCAGTGAGAAGGTGTAGGTGAAGCCCTTTCTGTGATTCAAGGAGGCCTGTTTGAGGGTTGGCATTTCAACTGGGTACAAAGGTTGCAAAGAAAGTAGCCCCACCAAGAGAAAGGGTTAGGAGGACCCAGAAATGGGAAGGGTGGTGTGAGGTGGCCCAGAGCTCAGCTTGTTTAAGATCTGAAAGGAAGCTTTGGGTCTGCAGAGTGACCAAGACAGAAGGAGGAAGTGAAGGCAGGGGAGGGTGGGGAGGGGGCCAGGCACACTGGGCCTCTGAGGTTTTCTCTGCACTCTATTCTCAATGGACCAGGGAGCCTTTCAAAGGCTTTAGGCAGGGAAGTAACAGGTTCTAATATCCTTCTTTAAAAATGATCCTCATGGCTGGCATGAGAAATGGATTAAAAGGGATCAAAAATAAAACCAGAGAGACTATCACCAGGCAAGCAGGCACAGGAGCGGGGCGGGCTGCTGGCCACGCATGGAGTCTAGATACGGTATTTCGGAGTCAGATCACAGCACCAGATAAAGACGTTAACAGCTGACATGGGGGAGAGACAGTCACTGCTCGTTTCTTGACTAAGCAACTGCCCGGTTGGTTGTGATGTCCGAGGCTGGAGGAACGAGCTTGTGGTGAGATCTGGTTCTGTTGCATTAAGTTTGAGATGCCCATGAGACACCCAAAAGGAGACAGCCCAGGATCTGGTGCTGAGGAGTGAGTGTGGATGGACTGTGGGGGCTCCCCACCAGCCTTCCTGGGCCAACCTGCCCCTGGTACGTAGCATCCCTCCTTCACTGTGCAATGGGGGCTTGGTCCAGGGTGAGAGCTTACTTCCTTTCAAGGGGACATCAGTTTGGAAGGAAATGGGGATGACAATGAGAGGCCAGGACTGCCCAGAGGTTTTGAATGTGAGTGGAAAATCCCCGTCTTCATTTTTAAATGTTTTGATGGAGGCACATACGTATGCATGAAAGAGAGAGAGAAAGCACCGTGACGCAGTCTCGTCATGCTGCAGTCTTCTTTCCCCAGCTCTCCAGCTCTGCAGGAGCCTGGGTACCCACTGTGTGTTCAGGCTGACCCAGGGGGCTGAGTCCACCGTCACCATGTAGCCTCCAACCTTACAGGGCACTTGAGTTAACACTGGGCGCTTCTTCATTCTCAGCCTCCACACTCCACTGAGCGCTCAAGCAGGCAGCGATCCCTGCCTTGGGTCCCAGCTCTGGACTTCTGAGGCTCCTCACAGGGAGCCAGGTCCTGCCTTTGCTCAGCTGTGAGCTGGGCCCGAGCAGGTGCAACCCGGAGGGCTATGCACGACACCTGAAAGACCCTGGGTCTAAGGAAGCTCAAGAGGGGAGCAGGAAGCAGAGTTTTGTCCTTGAGGAAATGCCCATTTTCCACATCTCTGGAAATGTGTCCATGTTAGTAACAGCTGGTTTTCTATTTCTTGCTTGAAGACAGTGAGGAATGAAAGGGAAAAGGAGCTATGGAGGGTCCTGGAATGGGATGCAGCAGGGACACTGGCCCACGCTTTCCTTGTTAAGCTGTGTAGCCGCAGGGTTGCCATCACCCTCTGGCCACTTCATCCTGATTGGCACAAACGCACCCTGTGGGCTGCAGGGGCCTGGATGGAGCTGGAATGAGAGCCACTTGGAGGGCACTGGGGAGCCCCGGGATGATTCAGGTTGAGTCACATGGACCCGGCTCCTCCTTGGCAGTCGAGGGGGAGTCTCTGGAGCTTGCCCCTCACCTCCCATGGGTGAGGAGTATGACTTTACCAGGCAAGGAAGGGGCTTTGTGAGTTCAAGGTTGGAGCAAGTAAACTTGACTTGGTCTGGGCCACTCCAAGGCCTGCCCCCCTCCACAGCAGGCTGAGGAGGGGATGGGACCTTGTCCAGCTCTAGCCTTGGCTGGCAGCTGGCCAAGTGGCCACTGGGTGTGGAGGAGGAGCAGGAAGGAACTCGTTAATCCTGGTCTGCTGTGCGCTTGCTGGGAGGCTAATTGCTGGGAAAACCCCATGACGTCGAAGCCACCTCTTTCTCTGCGAACACAGGGAAAAACAGAAGCCAAAATTAAGCGCCAGCCGGAAATATCCCTGACAGCAAAGACAAACAGCCGTCGGCCTGGTTTAGTCATTAGCAAGCGGCTGCCGGAGTGGAGGAGGGGGACGGTGATGAGCTGGGTAGATGGGGGGGAGCTGTCGATGGGGGGGTAGCTGTGGAAGCCACGGGGCAGCTTAACGCCAACAGCTCAACCGAGCAGTGGCAACCAGCCCTGCTGCCCAGGCCGATAGGAATTACGAGAGGTGAAAGGGAGTCAGGAGGACACTCAGGTCCAGAGCAGGTGACACCATCCCCTGTGACCGCAGAGTTCTCCTGCCATCCCTTGTGTGCTGGGGGCAGGGGAGTTCAGAGTGTCCAGGCCCCCAGGCCTCCATTTATTCCCACTTCCCCCAGCTCTAGAGGGGCTGGGCTGGGATGAACTGGCGTGACCCCCATGAGCGTGCGCAGCCTCTTCCAGAATTAATCACGGCATTAGCACTGTTTGCACACCTGCTGGCCTCACAGCCTGGGGCTCCAGAGAACTGGGGCCAGTCCCATGGCCTTTTCCTCTGCCCTGGTGCAGAGGATGCAGTGTGTCCATGGTTGTTCTGAAGGAATGCCTTCCCGGGCCTGACGTGGAGCAGAGGGTCCCTTAAGGAGTGGAGGATCCCCCAGCTGGTGTGGGGGCCCCAGAGCACCCCTTCATGCCCCCAAATCTGGAGAATGGAGGGTCATGAGGCCATCACTCTGTCCCTCTTGGCCTCTCCCGAAGCAGGCATCCCGGCAGTGGGGGCCTGCTATCTCAGCCTCTCTGCTGAGCTCCAGGTCTTGCTCAGTGCCCTGGGGGAGTCACTACGATGTCTCCTGCCAGGTCCTTGTCACCCCATGTCCAGCCGTAGGGGTCCGAACCCCGCCACCTCCAGGTATTCCCTGGCGTGTGGGCTCTGCCTTTCCTCTGGCAGCACGTTCTCCATTTTACAGACAGGAAGCACCTTGGGGGTTGTGTGGTAATGCCAAGGCCTGTCTGGAGGCCGGGGAGCTGAGCTAGAGCCACCTGAAGGACATCGAAGGAGGGTGTGAGGGTGTGTGAGGGAGGGTGTGTGTGAGACTGTGGAGGGTGTGGGTGTGTGAGGGAGGGTGTGGGTGTGTGAGACTGTGGAGGGTGTGAGGGTGTGTGAGGGAGGGTGTGAGTGTGTGAGACTGGAGGGTGTGTGAGGGAGTGTGTGGACATGTGGGGATATGTGGGTATGAAGGAATGTGTGAGTGTGCAAGGGTGTGAGGTGTATGTGTGAAGGAGCGTGTGGGTTGCAAGGAGTGTGTGTGAGGGAGTGTGTGAGGTGCACACACAGGCGTGCAGGGGCAAAGCCTGTCCAGGGTGTGGGAGGAATGGGGCTGAGAAAGCCGGGCCAGCAGTGGAGGGCCTGCAGAGGGTCGGGGGTAAGGGTGGATGTCCCTGCAGCATGGCCAATGGAGGACATCTTGGTGCAATCTGAGTCCATGGTTGTGCCCAGTCATCTGGCCGTGAGAGAAATGCCCACAGGCACTGGCCATGTGGCAAGAAGCATGTTCTTCTGCCTGGGCCCCCTTTCCCAATCTGTCAGAGGAGAATGGGGGCCAATATCCATGTGAAATACACGAGTGGCCGAGGGGCGCTCTGCCTCCTGAGCCCAGTGTGATCCGCGTCCTGGGGCCCTGGGTGGGTCATCTTGCTTGCTTTTGAAAGGGTTCAGCCCAGAGGCTCTCAGCCCTGGCTCATTAGAATCCCCTGGGGAGCTCTTACGACTCTCCCCCACCCCCACAT